TAAGAAATAGTGAGAAGAGTTGGGACCTCAGAAAGCTTTTAGGACCAAATAGTAGGCTCTTGTGTCCAGGAGAAAACGAATATACTTACCAGTAATGTTAATGCTCACCCACAGCTCTTCTGGGAGGATCTAAATTCTTGAAGCGCTTATCTCTTTCTTGTTTTATAGCTTTCAATGGTATCTCCTCACCATCAAGGTAACTATCTGTATTCTAGACACTTCATATACCATCCTGCATGCCTGGTCTGTGTGTTTTCTGAAGTTCCATCTCTCCTGTTTCTTCCCCAACTCTGCATTCTAGTCACACTGGTTTTCTCTGTTTTTCCAATGCCACAGGAGTCTTGCACAAATTGTTCCTTTTATCTAAAAGAATTCCTAACCCCGTAGTCAAGTTCTCATCCTTCAGTTATTGGCTCAAACATCTTTGTTTCAGACAAAGTGTCTCTAACTCCTAGAATTACTAGTTGAATTTTAGTCCACAGACCAACAGTATCTATATTATCTGCTAGTAATGTAGAATCACAGGCCATACCGACCCATCAGAATCCACATTTTAAACAAGATCCTCCATGTATATACACAGAGGCACAGACACATTTCTTGAAGGAGCTTGATACCTGACAGGCTCTTTATTCTCTAACACCAGGTAAGCTGGAAAGGAATGCTGTTAGTTTCTAAAGAATCCATTCTTGTGCTTCTCTACCAAATTACGCATTTAATATATTCAGAACATTTCCAACTTAACGGAAATTCTAAGGAGCTCTAATGGCCTAGATGTTTAAGTGTTGGGGTGCTAACTGAAAGGTCAGCTGTTTGAACCCACCAGCTGCTCGGTGGGAGCGAGGAGATAGTTCCTGTCCATTAAGATTTACAGCCTTGGAAATGCAGTAGAGGGTCTCTATGAGTTGGAATTAACTCAACAGCAGTGGGTTTAGTCCAGAAAATTTCCAAATTAGGGGAAACTTTTCTCTTCTAATTAAAATTTTACTGTCTAATTGCTGATGCCAGATGGATCTTGGCTGAAAACAAAGTGTACCAGAAAGATGTTTACTTGTACTTTGTTGTTATGCTGTTGTTCTGTATCACTGAGTCAGAACTGACCCAGAGCGGATCCTCTAGCAGGTTGTTAGAGGCAGTAAATTGCACAGGATATTGCCCATCTTTCTCCTGCAGAGCTGGTGGATTTGAACCACGTATCTTTGTATTGGCAGCATAATTCCTTATCACTAAACCACTAGAGCAAAGGCATTTGACTGGATAGATCACAACAAATTATAGGTAACATTGAGACGGATAGGAATCCCAGAAAAATTCGTTTTGCTCATGCAAAACCTATATACCTAGACCAAGAAGCAGCTGTCTGAACAGAACAAGGGAACCCTGAATGGTTTAAAATGAAGAAAGGGATGCGTTAAGGTCGTATTATTTTTCCATGACTACTCAATTGGTGTGCTGAGCAAATAATTAAAGTTGGATTATATGAAGAATCTGACATCTTGATTGGAGGAAGTCTTATCAGCAACCTGCATTAAGCTGATGACACAACCTTGCATGCAGAAAGTGAAGGACTTGAAACACTTGCTGCAGAAATAAAAAAATAGCAGCCTTCAATATCTAAACACCAAGAAAATATTTTCACCACTGGATGAAAAGGCAACATCATGATAGAGAAAAGATTGAAACTGTCAATTTCATTTCACTTGGATCCACAGTTAACACCCATGGTAGCTGCCGCCAAGAAATAAAAAAAGACATGTTGCATTGGGAAAACCTGCTTTCAAGGACCTCTCCAAAGTTCTAAGAGCAAGGGAGAAGGGACCCAGCTGACCAGCAGCACTGCTGGGCAGAACTGTCCTGGACTGAAAAGCTGGACAGCTTAGTAAGGTGACCTTTCTAAAACGGCACCCTTTGAGGTTCTGCTGTGGCCAACTCTCTCCTCTATACCTTTCGAACAACATAGTTTGATAAAGTCTTGGAGGAACAAGCTCTAAGTCAATGTTTGCCTACCTAGAACACTTGTTTTGTCTCTTACTGCAGTCCTGTTCAAGGTGATACCAGCTATCACTTCCCAATGATTCTGTTTAGTTTCCTTCACTGCATTTTATTCTCTAATAGAGCTAGTCTCTTCACATTACTCTGCTTCTGTTCATTACCAACGACTGTCAACTCAGTCACAGGTTCATGTCATTTACTTATTTTAATGGATTAACTTACATTTATCTCAATTTTACTAGTATAGTCACAACGTAACTTCAGAATTGTTCCAGGCACTTCATATTTGTTGTATGATCAGCTGTTGAAGGAACAGAACAAATTTCCTCAAAATTCTAAAGACACAATGCTCTTGGTGTTGAAAGAACAAATACAGCTGAGGGGTGGCAAGTTTCCCCCCCAAAAAAAAGCAGAGTCAGTGAGTCAGACAGCAGAGTTTATTGAAGTGCACACCCAGTTCCTAAGGCCCAGCCTTCTCTTGCCTAAGGGGAGAGGAGGCCACACCCAGATTTTCACATTCAGTCAATATCCTTTCCCCTCACTCTCAACAAAGAGTAAGGTGCTGATGGTCTGGGGCCAAGAACCAAGAAAGGGATTCTGTGTGATACCAGGTTTTTACCACCTGATCCTCTGTGGAACTAAGCTTCTGGAGGTGGGTGGCAAAGAAATGGACAAGAAACACCCACATAGAACTCAGGAGAACAGGTGCATCTAGTCTCCTTGCCCCCAGAAGGCAAGATGGCTATCCCTGACAAAGCAGGGAAAATATTAAATATAAATAACTTATATACAAAATGGCTCGTATAAAAAGCTGTAGGTCAGAGGACAAGATGCCTCTGTGAGAGGCTGAGATGACTGGAAGAAGCAGTAAGAGAAAAAATATCCTCACCTCTCTTAGTCTTTGAAACAGAGTCCCTCCAGCCACCAGGGCCTGGTGAGTAATGATGGCAGGCAAGAGAGGAGAGGAGTTGTGCCCAGTGGCCCTCAGCGGGCTAGGCTGGTGAGAAGGGTGGTGAATTGGAGGGCCCGCCCCACCAGCTCTGCCACACACTGTGCCATCTCTCGGGCTGCAGGGCTGGAAGGGTAGCCCAATGCAGCTCCCTTGACAGCCAGCACAGTGGCACGCAAAGCCTGGCCCAGTGCTGCGCCTGCTACCCCGACCTGTGCTCGCAGTGGGGCTGAGGCTGCCAGCCGGTCTAGGGTATCACCAACAAACACTAGGCGGTGAGCTGCTACCACTACACGCTTGCCATGGGGCACGAAGAGGCGAGGGGGATGATTGGCTTGGGTGCTGGCCATCAGGGCTGCCACTGCTGCCTGCAACGCTGAGTAGTGGCTCTGGCACTGTCCAGCATAGAAGTGCAGGAGCTGTAGGTCTCCAGCGGGCAGAACCAATGATTCCCCTGGGGACTGTGTATCCTGAGGGAAGAGAGGGGTGCTCAGTGGGAAGGGAAGGAGGTGCCAGTTTCCCTGCCTTTCCCCTTTCTCCCAAGTACAATCCCTTTAGCTCTTACCGCCAAGCACAAGGAAACTTATATTTTCAGAGAGAGGACTGTGAAGCATCCAGACTTGATTTCAGATAGATCTGGAGTCAAATAACCTCAGACTTGACTTTAAATCAGTTTCTGAATTTTTCTGTTTTTGTATCTTTAAAAGGGAATTCTAGTACTGTACTATCCAACAGAAATATAATATGGACTTTATATGTAATTTAAAAATTTTATTCATTAGCGACTGTGCAGGAGTAAGATGAGCAGTTTCCTCCTGTGCCATTACTGTCTCTGGAAAACCTGCTGGAGGGTCAGCTATGGATCAGTTCTGACTTGATGGTACACAATAACAAGTAGTTACAGTAAGAGAAATGAACTTAAATGAAATTAAAGTTTAATGATATCTAACCCATACTTTGGGTATCTTGTCAGGAGGGACCAGTCCTTGGAAAAAGCTACTGTGCTAGGCAGGGTGAGAAATGGAGAATGATCTTCAACACAGTGACTGTAACAACTGGAGCAAGTCAGGGATGGTGAAGACTGGGCAGGGCAAGGTTCGGATCTCCTTAATAAGGTCGCTAGGAGTTCTAGTCACCTTGATAGCACTTTAAGACAACCCAAAATATTTTTTAAAAAACTTATTTCAATAATTGATCAATAGAAAAACTGTTGATTTTTTACATATATATAAATTTTTTTTATAAGTCTTTAAAAATGTGGTGCACATTTTAGAGGAACAGAAAATTTCCATTCAGACCAGCCCCATTCTGAGCTTTCAAGAGCCACACGTGGCAATTGGCTACTGTATACTGAGCAGGGCAGTGTATCTTCCCCGTAAGACTGCAGTGAATATTGCCCAGGATAATATATAGAAAGAGCTTAGCATAGTGTCTTATACCCTCTAAGCACCATGAGTATTAACTATGACCTTTTCTTCTTTTACTCTAAAGATCAGAAATTAATTTTTTCAATATGGGAATTTAGAAATCTGAATTCAGGGCATTAACTCTAGGGGTTGATCCTTGGCTTTTTATGTATTTGGGGTTTTCTCCTCAATTTTGTGGTAACTGTATATAAGAAAACACCTGCTGTTTTAAGATTTTTGACATGCAAAGTTTAGTGACATTACTTTCATCATGTTGCACAACCATTACCACCATCTGTTTCCAAATGTTTCAATCACACATGTAACACTCACGCATCAGTGCCCCTTAAGCAGTGACTTCTCCTCCCTCCAGGTCCTAGTAACCAACAAACCATCGCTATGATGCATGTAATGTGCCAGGCACAGGGTCTAGTGCTTGATAAATTCCTGATAAATGGGAGCTACTGTGATTATGACTATTTTAGACAGGGTTCAGGAAACCACCTCACTTTTTAGTGAGATTAACTTACGGCTTCATAGCTCTGGCTTCTCAGTGGTGAAGCTGGGATTAGGAGCCAGGTCTCTTAGGAGCCCAGGAATTCACAGTTGGAAGCAGCCTCAGTCACCCGGTGCAGCTCTGACCCATATTCTTGGCTCCCTTGGCTGCCTGGTTTCTGACTCCTCTCCAGCAAATTCTTTCCCAGCTTTCTGAATTCCTGATATCCTTCTCCATGTCCCAGCTCCTTCCTACTGAAATCTAACTCCTTTCTACTATGTACCCTTTCAACCTCATCCTAATCTATCTTCACCCATGGTTAGGAATTCTCTCCCAAATTCCTATCCTTCCTTTCCCCACTCCTCCCTCCCTCCAACCCATGTTACCTGTTGCTCTGGCTGCTCCCTCTCTGGCAATTCGGGATCCTCTGGGAAGGCCTTATCCAGAGGCTTAGATCCCTGAGCTTTCTCCATGCCCTGCAGGAGGGGATCCAGGGCTCAGCACAGGGGTAGGAAGGTAGGTTGGGTGATCTGAGTCGTCACCTTTCTTCTAGGGATTCTTGGTCAGAGGGTGCAGAGCTCTGGTGCCAGGGTAGAGGCTGGGGTTAGGGCAGTAATGGTACAAGTGGCGTGGCCAAGACCAGAGCCCAGAGTGGTCCGAGCAGGGAGGGAAGGGAGGAATGGGGGCCTATCTGTGGCTCAGACCTCCTTTTTCTTTTTGGTTGTCCCAGGGTGTTTCAGATGAGGCTGGCCCAGAAGACTCACCTTCAGGTGGACGTAGTCATACTCCTCAGCCATCGGGATGCCCTCGTACTCATTATGCTGTCCCTCAGGATCATTCTCCACCTGTCTGCCCTCTGAATCCTCTTCAGCCTTGGGACCCCCATAGCCAGACAGACGGGGTGGGGGTGGGGGAAGAGGCCTGTCCTGGATACTGCCCTTTCGGCCTGGGGCAGGAGAGGGAGCTGGAGAAGGGCTGGGGGTCTCTGGGACAGGTAGGGCAGGCAGAGGGCGTCGGGATAGGCTCTCAGCTGACGGTAGCCGGGGTCTTTGTGAAGTCGGGGGGCTTCTGGCCAAAGCCAGGGCCAGAGTGTCCACGTCACTGGAAGCTGAGGCTCCTGGGGGTTCTGGGGATGGAGGTGCCTCTGGCCCCAGCAGGGGCACGTCATAGATGCCCTCTTCAGTATCCCCACCTTCCCCTTCTGCCAGCAGTTCCTCGGGGGCTTCATACAGATTGAGCAGAGCTGATGCTCGTTTTAGGTTGGAGGGGGCAGCATAGAGGGGGGGCCCTGGTTCCCGGCCCCCCTCCCACCCTAAATCCAGTTCCAGCTCTGTTGGTGACTTTGGGGCCAGAGGCACATCATAGGGAGCTTCATCCTCTCCAGGAGGCTGTGCGGCCACCTGGGCCAGAGGACGTGAAAAGGAGGCAGGGGAGTCGTAGGGGTCACTGGAGGGAAGCCGGAGTGCAGTGGGTGGCACGTCGTAGACCTGGAGAGAGGGAGGGGTTCATTATCCTTTAGGCACTCAAGGGTGATCAACCACCCTAGTGTCTCCCATTTACTCTTCACCAACATACAAGGGTCTCCCTCCCCAGGCAGCCCTGTTCTCACCTCTAAAGTATCTCCAGAAGCAGCAAGCTGGGTCCCACTGCCTCTGGGGATCTTATAGATGGCATCAGGGGAGCGTGGGCAGGGTCCAGACAGAGGTCCCGAGGTGGGACAGGGCCGAGCTGGAGGTGGCACCACATACACCTGGGGAGCAAAATAAGAGAGTGGTTCAGGAGTAAGGGCCATGGAACCAGATAATGTCGGGCTTGAAGGAGTTTACAGGCCTTCCAGCCCCCTCCCCATACGGATGGGGAAAGAGACCCCAGGAAGAGTTGATAGGCTCCACATAGCACAGTCAGTAAAGAGCTAAGGTGATTCTGCCCCAGCTTGCTGCAGGCCCTAGAGGCAAGGCACAGGGCTGAGTTCAAGCTCTCCAGCTCTCACCTCCTGGTCCTTACTGCCATGCTCTGTTGGGGGCCCCTGGGAGGTGCTGGGCTTGGGTGCTGGGCCGGCGGGAAGGAGCTTCACTCTGTTGGCAGGCACGATGCCCTGCTGGCCATGCAGGGAACAGAGGCACCAGCCGTCCAGCCCTCCTGCACCCTCCCGCTGCAGTACCCGTAGAACGTCCCCTCGACGGAAGGACAGCTCCTGGGGGGACTCAGCAGTGTTGTCGTAGAGTGCCCGGGCCAGCTGGGCCTGGTGGGTGAGGTGGGAATGAGGAGGGGTCTTCACACACATATCTGGTCATGTCACCCCCTGCTCAGAACCCTTCAGAGGTCCCTGCTTTGTCAGGCTAAAAATCTGAACTCCTTTCTCTCATTAGGTCACCTTATATCTAGCCTCACCTATATTCTATCTCTTACTTTCAATTTCTTGAACCCATAAACTCTTTCCTGCCTCAGGTCCTTTGTATTTGTTGTTCCCCATACCCAAAATGTTCTTCCTAAGACTATCGTCTTCCTGGCCCCTTTCCATTCTTCTGGTCAGCTTAAATGTCTCTTTCTCAGAGATCTTTGCTTGCCCTTCCCTCCAGTGCCTCTTTTCTGTCTCCATGCATTGTTCCCATCATAATTCTCTTTGTCTATTTACTTTTGCCTATATACTCTTTGTCTATTTACTTTTTTTATTACCAAATCCTCCCCTTATGCTTGTAAGCTCTGTGAAAAGAGGAACTGCTACATTTCTCAAAAGTCCGAAATATTTCTAGCTCCTGAATAGTAAGGCTTCAATTCATATGTGTGGGCTGAATTTCTTCCAAAGCTTTTTTGTGCATGTGAGAGGCAGGATCACCTTTATCTTCCTTTAATTGGTACCCCCACCCCCACCCTGCTCCAAACAAAAGGTTATCTTCTACCCTGGATGAGTAGATACAAGTCCAGCCTAGATTGAGTGCCTAAGCATAATGAAGAAACCAGAAGCAATAGTTTTGTCCTTGAGGCTGAGGTAGGTTACCATGGAGAAAAACGTGTGCGTAGAGGCAGGCTGGCAGACCAGCAAAGACATTAGCCGGTTTCTAGTCCACTGAGAGCCATATGCTTAGGTAATAAGTCTCAGATGTTTCTGTTGTTGCTTGTTACTGACAAGTTGATTCCAATGCATGACAACACCATGTGTTACAGATTAAAACTGCCCTATGGGATTTTCTTGGCTGTAATCTTGACAGAAGCAAACACCAGGTCTGTCTTTGGTGGAACTGCTGGATGAGTTTAAATCACCAACCTTTAGATTAGCAGTCTAGGGCAAACTGAATGCACAACCTAGGGACCTTTTAAGGAACTCTGGAGGTGCTGTTAATTGGGAGGTTGTCTATTCAAATCCACCAATCTGTTCTGAGATGGAAACATAAACAATCTTCACCAGCGAAAATTTACAACTTTAAAAACTCAGTGGAGGGTCACTATGAGTTGGAATCTATGTTACTGCAGTGGGAGGGAACTAGTAACAAGTCCTTGGTGTTACTACTCTGTGACTCGAGTAGATTCTAGCTCCTAGAAAACCTATCGGGTAGAAATAGAACTGTCCCATTGGGCTCCTAAGCTGTAATCTTTACAAGAGATCTCCAGACCTTTTCTTCTGTGGGCTCCTGATGGGTTTGAATTTCTGGCCTTTTAGTTAGCAGGCAAGAGCTTTAACCATTATGCTACCTCAAATGTTCTTGTTATGTGCCGTTGAGTCGCTTGCTACTTATAGCGACCCTATGTACAACAGCCCCAAACTCTGCTCTGTCAAGTTCAAGCTGCTTTAAAGGAACTAGCAAAAAAATAAGGCCCCAGGAATAGATGGTATCCCAATTGAGATATTTCAGCTAAGAGATGCTGCCCTGGATATGCTCACCAAGTTGTGCCAAGAAATCTGGAGAACAACCACTTGGCCAACTGACTGGAAGAGATCTGTATCTGTTCCCATTCCAAAGAAAGGTGACCCAACTGAGTGTGGAAACTACAGAACAGTATCATTGATTTCACATGCAAGCAAGAGTCTACTGAAGATTATCCAAAAACGACTGGAACAGCACATCAGCAGAGAACTGCCAGAAGTCCAGGCTGGGTTTAGAAGGGGTCGGGGTACTAGGGATATTGTAGCTAATGTTAGATGGATCCTAGCTAGATGAAACCAGAGGAATGTATATCTGTGTTTCATTGATTATGCAAAGGCGTTTGACTGTGTGGATCATAACAAACTGTGGCTGACTCTGAGAAAAATGGGAATCCCAGAACACTTGATTGTGCTAATGAGAAACCTATACTTGACCAAGAGGCATTCGTCAGAAGGAGCAAGGCAGCTCTGCATGGTTCAAAATCAGGAAGGGCGTAAGCTAGGGATGTGGCCTGTCTCCATACCTTTTTAACCTGTATGCCACCTCAAATATCGAGTGATAATCATGTGTCCAGACATTGTGTATATACTTGTACCAATTTTCTCCTTTAATTCTCACAACAACCTTGTGAGGAAAGGGCTATCACCATTTCCATTATGGAAAGAATACTGGATGGAACAGAGTTCTACTATGTTGCCCAATGATCCAAGGTTGTTTAATCCCAGAGTCTGCACTCTCAACCACTTTCTTTACTGCCACTCCACAATCATAAATGTATCATTTGGCCTTTTTTTTAAAAAAAAAATTAGTTGAGTGGAGAGTCTGTAATTCAATCACAAGTCAAGAGCTTGTAACCATATGAAGGTTACATTAGATCCTTTGATAGACTCTAAATTACCTCTGTTCCCCTCAAATTATCTTAATGCAATGACTATGCTTGTTAAGACCCCAGTCCTGGGAGTCCTCAGAGGTGGTGGTAGAGAACAGGTAGTTAGGGACCACTGACCAGGTTATCATACTGACCATCTTGGTAAAACACTGAAGACCTCAGCCAGGAGGCATTTGGCTCCTAGAACCAGAGGAGGAGGAAGTCTTTTCTAGTGAGTGCTCTTAGCAAGTGTTTTCCCCTTGGAGAGGGTGTCCAGCCTTTTATGAGTTGGTGTCTTTAACAACAAATTAATTCCTCCTCATGCCTAACTGCAAACTTATTAAATCATTCTCTGATTCTATTTTGGCTTCTATATGATATTGTTCTACAGAAAGAAAATATGTCAACCTGATGACACAAATGTCTGGTTAGCTCAGCATGGTTCTTCCTAACTGTAAGTTACAAATTGGTGTTTTGAATCTAGCCAGGGAGTTAAGGGCTAAGGACAGTTCTAGAGGCAGGCAGACCTGTGTTTGAGCCCAGCTCTATCTCTATTCAGGTGGATGATTACAGACAAATTGCTTCACCTGAGCCTCAGTTTCCTCCTTTGTAAATCCGAAATAGTAATACTATTCTTTCCCACAGGTTTGTTGTGAGCTGGTGGGCAATATAATGTTTCCAAAACCCATAAGAAAGTTTAGAACAGTGCCATGTAATAAATATTAGCTGTTATTAGCATTCTGTGAGTTTGATTATCAAGCTCTCTCCCTGGGGTCTGCTCACTGCTCAGAAAAGGAAAAAGTTTACCTCTTGGGACTACAAAGTTGACCAGCTGGCTCCTGAGCCAGCATCTTTATTATAGAGTGCCCCACCTCTTCCAAGCCCTGAGCTAAGATCTTCATATCATCACACCCAACTAAAGAAGTGTAGTCTGAACCTTAGAGCTCTACCACAAACATGCTCCTCCAGATTCTCAGCCAATTCAACAAGCACTCAAGCTTGTTATCTTTGTGTTTACTGGAGCAAGAGGTACTGGAGAAGCACTGTATGTCATGCATATGACATTATTTAATTCAGATGTCAGCTGAGACAGAAAGAATAACCCAGAACAATGGAATAAACTAGTCCCCAATGATTAATACAAGTTCTACTTGGTGGATACGGATTACAACAAACTGATGAAAGATGGTCCTGATTTCTAAATGAAATACTTTTCATAAAGCTGCTTAGGATGAAGGCCTTCCAGAAACCAGTCCCACAATTTCCCTCTTAAGCAGGATGGTTTTTTTCCCTAACTGCATGAGATCACATCAGTGGTTAAGTTGGAATTTACATTGAATAATAAATATTAAACTTGGGGGTGTGTGAGAAGTGTGCCGGAGGAGCCAAACATGAATGCAGCAGCCCCTCTCCAGACCTATAGGAAGATGGTTCTGTTTCCCTGTCCATCTTCATAGAGTTCCTGCTCAGAAGGCGACACAGGTGACTGCCTCACTTTCCCTGGGAGTTGCATGGAAGCCCGCTAGAGACAAGGCACAGAGGTGGGGCTATATGATGCTCCTCCCGGTTAGGTTTGAATTCTGTCCAATGGAGCTAAACCTCTGGGACTTGCAATTACAGGAAACTCAACAGCTCCTCCGAAGACCTGACATTCTGCTTCTGTGAAGATCACATCCAAGAAAAGTCTATGGGGCAGTTCCACCCTATCACACGGAGTCACTAGGAGTGAGAATTGGCAGGAAACAATGGTCATGACACAACAAAGGCAGGGTTGCTGAGAGACTGATTGATGACGGGTGTGGCCCACTCCTGCTCTAGCCCCTTTCTCAAGGGCCCAGCTGAGTGGAGGGGGAACGCTGGTTTAATGGAGGTGGCCATATGAGCCACGTGTTCTTTGAGAGGCCTCCTCCCACTGTTCCATTCTGCCAGCTGTCTCCTCCCTTTGTCACCAGTCCTCAGAAAGTGGCCTTAGGCTGCTGACATCATCTCCCCTTCTCCCTCCATTTTCTCTTTCTCCCTGCCTCATTTTCCAATTTTACTTTATTTGCTCCTTTTCTTCCATCCTTCCTCTAATTTGATCGCTTTCATTTCCCCGAGAATTTTCATTTACCACTTCCTTTCCGCCCCCTCCCAACCAGCCTCCCAATCACAAGCCCCCACCGACCACAAGTGGCCATCTGTTCCCGCCCATAAAAGAGCAGATAGGACCCCGGCCACTCTCGCCCCCACCCCTTGCTACAGGAACAGCCTCTGAAGAGAAAAGAGTGTAGGAAGGGGGAGGGGGAAAACGGCAACCCCAAACCAGAAGGAATGCAAGAGATGAGAAACAAAAGTGAGGAGAGAGGACGTAGCCTCTTGGCGAAGAGAGGGGGCAAGAAGTGAGACAAAGAGAGGGCGGAAATAAAAGTGACAGGAGTGTATGGCAGGCAGTGGCAGTCCTGCCGAGCAGCCTCCTCTCACTGATGGACTCACCGACGTGGCTATGGCCATGGCTTCGGCCTCCGCTCGGCCTGTCCAGGCCAGGCTGGCTTTCGCTGACTTCAGCAGCGGCTGCCCCACACCATAGTTCACTGACTCCAGGCGGGGAGGCGGCCCCAGCTGCAGCGCCCGAGTCAAAGTTGGAGGAGGAGAAAGAAAAGCCACAAAACTCCCCAAACGGGAGGCAGCCTGGACGTGCAAGAGGAGGAGCGGGGCGGGCGGGCGTCACTGCGGGACCTCATCCAAGGGGGCGCGCTTTGCACGGTCTCCGCGGCCTCCCGGGGGCCACTGGCCTGGCAAGGTCCCCCGGTCTGTCTGCCTTAGGCCACAGACACTCTCTGGATCTGCCTGGGCTTCTGAAAGGTCCCTTCCAGGTCCTGTGTCAGCGAGGAGGCAGGGCTGGGGCTCGACGCCTCTCCTGGCCGCTCTATGTGGCCCCGAAGGCTGGGAGAGGCCGCCGGGGCGGTTGGGCAGGGCGAGCGAGTTTAGGGATCAACTCTCCCCACCTGGGCTGCCTGAAGAACAGGACTCCCAGTGCCCAGGACCTGGCAGCTGGAGGCACTGTTGCGAGACCTGCTGGGAGAGCAGCAAAGAGTGAGAACTGAGATGTCTGTCTCCTCTCCAACTCGCCCAAGTTAGCATCAGGAGGCAAGGCGGACGCCAAAGCCTCCTCGAGCTTGCCCGTTGGGCTGAGTTGCTTAAGTGGCTGCTTTCTGCCACGATACTCGCACCCCCGGCGGTGCAGCAGGCTCCCACTCACACACCAGCTCCCTGCAGATCTGGGGGCCTGGGGCGCTACGACGGCACTTGTCCCCTGGCTGTCGCTCCGCAGCGACCCTACACACAGGCACGACCCGAAGCAGCCGGTCGGGCTGGCTAGTTAAGGCGGGCGTGCAGGCAGCAGAGCGGCCGGTTTCCCCCCTCCCACCCTCGGCCTCCGTGCGCAGAACCGCGCACGCCAGCTCCCACCCTCCGCACCTGGCGCAGGCCCCACCGCCCACGCTGCACGCACCCCAGGCAGGGCCCCTCGGCAGCTCCCAGGTGTCTCTGGGAACGAAGAGAAAGGCCACAAGCAAAAGCAGCAGCAACGGGGAGACGAAGGAGGCGCGATGGCTAGGGTCCTGTGGACTCGGCAGCGGGATGAGGGGGAGGAAATCCAAGAAGGTCCCTCTCCTCGAAGGCTCCGCGGGTCGCGCGTGGTCCCCAGGCTCACCCCCTGTTCGCCGTACGCTCCCCTTCCCCGGCTCCGGGTTCCTCTCAATGCAGTTTTCTTCGTCTGCCCCACCGGCCCTCTCCTCTCGGGTGAGAGGCTGAGTCCTGGGATTAAGAAAAAGAAGGAGGGGGAAAAGGAGGAGGCGGAGGAGAAAGGGGAAGATCCTTCCAAAGGCGGGTGTTGAGTTTCAGCTCCGGACCCTCGGGCCAAACAGCACGCCCCCTCTCGGCCCGTCGGCTCTGCGTCGTCTTCCCGACTTCGTCGCGGGCCTGGCGGTGGTCCGGTCGGCTCTCTCCTGGGAGCTTCCCGCTCCCCGCCACGCCCCCGTCCTTCCCCGCCAGCCCCGCGCGTCTCTCTGTCTCCCTTTCATTAGTCCCACATCTGTCTTTCCGTGGGAGGGAGGGTGCTCCTTCCGCCTGCTGGGGTCCTTCTGTGAGCCTCTCCCCTCCCTTGCTGCTTGCCTTTGCAGGGATGACAAGGTTATCCAGCCTGTTTCGAGGGGAGAAGTCTTGAACTGGACATGGATTCTGGCGGTGGCAGGAGAACATGAAGCCTGAGCTGCTGGTTCCAGAGCTGCAGGAGGGCCGGTTGGGCAGCCTGTCATACTCTGCCAGTCTGGGCCTGTCCCCTGCCCTCACCCAGGCTCACTTGGAAATATAGTAGGAGAAATAGTAGTGGGGACCACAGGCACAGAAGAGCAAAACTCTTTTAAAAAGAGACTGGGCTTTGTCCCCTAGGAAATTTCAGCTGAAAGAACAGGGCCCTTTTAATCCTGTACAACTCTCTGCCCTTCCTATTAGTCCTTGGATGGCCTGCTTCTTTCCAGACACCTCCCTCTCCTAGTTCTTTCTCCTGGGGCATACATCAATGGCTTGAGGGAAGCCTGCTCACTTTTATTTCTGAGGTTCCTGGTCTTTAAAAAAGATGGCAAACGGAGTTGAAAGCCTTGTAGTATATTTTCTACGTTTGCATTTAAGAAGTCTTGATGGCATAGTGGTGAAAGAACTGCACTGCTAACTGACCCATGACAACCTTGGGAATGCTGTGGGGAAGGCAGTTCAGCTGTGGAGTGGGGGACAGTCGGCTTGGTTTACGTTTAACAAATTAACATCAAACATAGACAATAGTTCTGTACACCTCATTAGGCGATAACATCAGAATTCTAAATCTAACACTCTTTATGAGCCTGAGGACTTGGATAAATGCTTCCTCCTACTTCATCCACTAAGAATGCAAAAGGTCATTACAAAGAAAGAAGACCAAAATAGACGTCAGGAGAGACTATGAAAATTGCACTAGAGTGCTGAGAAGCCAAAGCAAAGGGAAGAAACCAAGAAGTTGAAGAGCTGAATAGAAGATTTCAAAGGGAAGCAAAGGAAGACAAAGCAAATGTGCAAAGAACTGGGAGTCCGAAAATCAAAAGGGCTGAACTTGCTCTGTATTTCTTAAGCTGAAGGAACTAAAGAGTAAATGCAGGCCTCAAGTTACAATACTTAAAGATGCTGTGACCAGAATATTGAATGATCCAGGAAGTATTAAAAGATGATGTAAGGTGTCTACAGTCACTGTACCAAAAAGAATTGGCTGAAACAGAAGAATTTCAAGAAACAACATATGATCAAGAGGCAATGTTGATGAAGAAGGAAGCTCAGGCTGCTCTGAAGGACTTGGCGAAAAAAAAGAAAGCCCCAGGAATTGATGGAAACCAATTGACATAGTTCAACTGCCCTGGATGTGCTCACCAGGTTATACCAAGAAATCTGGAGGACGGCGAGCTCTGGTGGCCTAGTGGCAAGAAGGTGTACTGCAATCCCAGAGGTGAACGGTTCAAATCTACCAGATGCTCTGCTGGAGAAGGAGGAACAATCTCCTCCTGTACCAGTCAGATCTAATCTGACAGTACACACACACACACACACACACACACACACACACACACAAAATAATAAAATAAAAAAAAATTTAAAAAAATCTGGAGGACAACTACCTGGCGAACTGACTGGAAGAGATCCATATTTATTCCCATTCTAGTAAAAAAGTGTGGAAATTATCTTACAACATCACTCATATCACATGCAAGAAAAATCCTACTGAAGATTATCCAGAAATGACTGGAACAGTACACTGACAGAACTATCAGAAATACAAGCTGGGTTTAGAAGAGGCTATGGCACCAGAGACATTATTGCTAATGTCAGATGGATCATGGCAAAAAGCAAAGAGTACTAGACGAATGTCAATCTGTGTTTCATGGACTATGCAAAGGCATTTGACTGTGTGTATCACAACAAATTGTGGCTAACCTTGAGAAGAATGGGAATCCCAGAACCTTTGATTGTGCTTATGTAAAACCTATACTTGGACCAGGAAGCAGTTCTCAGAACAGAGCAGGGAAGTACTGCATGGTTCAAAATAAGGAAGGGAATGTGTCAGGGATGCATCCTGTCTCCATAGCTTTTCAATCTATATGCAGAACAGATCATTTGGGAGGCTGGACTTTATGAGGAGGAATGTGGCATCAGGATTGGAGGAAGACTCATCAACAACCTTAGTTATGCAGATGATACAACCTTGTTTGCTAAAACTGGAGAGGACCTGAAGCACTTGCTGCAGAAGATCAAGGACCAAAGTCTTCAATACGGATTGAAGCACAACATCAAGAAGACAAAGATTCTCACCATTGGGCTGATTGACAGCACTGTGATAGATGGAGAAGAGATTGAGGCTGTTAACAGTTACAGTTGCTCAGCTCCACAATCAACACTCTTGGCACCAGCAGTCAGGAAATCAAAAGGCAAATTGCATTAGGTAAATCTACTGTCAGAGACCTTTGCAGAGTACTAAACATTGATGTCAGTCTAGAGACTAAGGTGCACCTGATCCAAATACTTGCTCAGAGAGCTGGACAATGACTAAGGATGACAGAAGAATTATTGATGCCTTTGAATTGTGGTGCTGGAGAAGAGTCTTGAACTTATCATGGACCACAAACAAACAAGTCTGTCTTGGAGAGGGTGAAACCGAGTTTCTCTTTGGAGCTTAGGATTTTGAAGCTCCCTTTCACCTACTTTGGGCATGTGACCAGGATGGCCCAATCCTTGGAAAAGGACATCATGATTGGAAGGGTGGAGGGACAGCACAGGAGAGGAAGAACCCAGATGAGATAGACTGATATAATAACTAGGCTAATAGGTGGTAGGTGTGTCAGAGTCAGTGAGACTGGCTCAGGACAGGGCAGGCTTCAGAGCTGTTATACGTAGGATCACTATGAGTCACAGGCAACTCGATGGCACAAAACAATAATACTTAATCTAGCTCGTTCACCACTCTATAACCAGGGCACCTATGAGGAACCCTCTGTGAAGGATGGAGCCTATGAGGTGAATTAGGGAATAGACCAAATTGATTCTGAGCTTGATCTAAAGATGAGGTGCAGAACTAGCTATGGGGTTGGGAATCCTCAACAGACCCAGAGTGCATTAATGTACTATGGAAATTTACGGCAGCTCCAGCCTGATTTGAATTGGACGAGAGGAAAGTTTTCCAGCCTCCTCTAGACTCCAACCCTGGGAACAGTGTGGTAGGGGGCAGTTAGGGGCTGACTACCCGGTACACAGATTAGCAGCTTCTAGGAAGTAACTGGAGAGTCTCTGCCTAGACACTGCCAAAGAAAATGGGGGTCAAGTTCGAGGTGGGCAAGAAACTGTTCAAAGAACATTGTGACACAAAGGGAAATTGGTAGAAGCCAGAAAAAGGTTAAAAAGCAAGAGAGAAGCTGTTGAGTGTCCAGAGCGAGTAG